TTTTTCCCCCCCCCCCCCCCCGCTTCACGGCTCGTTGTGATAATGCGAAATGAAATTGTTGACATTATCTCACGTGTCTCGCGAGAGGAACATCCCGAAGGCTGAGAAGACGGAGGTGCGTCCGTGTGAAATCGACACGCAGCCCGGACGATTGTTCGCGGTTGTGCCGGTCAGCCTTGAAGACGAAGGCTAAATCCTTTCGCGTTTCATCATCATCGCGCGCATGCACGACACTATTCATACTTCGAGGGACACTATGCGTCCAATTAAGATCAAGTATGCGCAGAGAGACGTCGATCGTCTCGTCGGAGACCCGCGAGCGGCGCGCGTTGCGTCGCGTGTGTATCTTCTATTTCTAAACGATCATCGATATTTGTTCCGCAAGTATAACGTGGTAAGTAACGGAAGTGCTAATAGAGACGCCGAACGTGTTATCCGCGGCGTGCCGCTTTTGATCATTGTTTGCGTCAAGGATCCCGGACTCGCGACTCACGTCATGATTATACTTTGAGCGCGCTGCCTTTCGGACGGACGCGTTCCTCGAACAGATCTTTAATATAATATTAATCCGTCTACAGTGAGGAGAAGAAAATTGGAAGAGGGGGGGGGAGGTTAACTGGAGAAAAAGATTTCAAATCGAAGACCATATAGGGTGTTCGATAATAATTCTCTTCCGTTTAATTAACACGTTGACGGACGCGTTATTGATTTCCGTGCAAAATGACTGATGATTCAACTTAAAAAAAAAAAATTTTAATCCAAGTATAATTACCTTGGGTCGTTTAGACCCTAATTAAAAGTTACTATTATTAACAAAATATAGCGTGTTATCGATTGTTCTCTATGATTTATTATTATTTATGGATATTATAAGTATAGATTTACTCGCTACTTTTTGAAATCCAGGAGAAATAAAAAAAAATATTTAAGAAATGAAGTAAGTGTACCAAGTGTTCCTAATCGTTTACGTAAAAAAAAAAAAATAATAATAATAATAAGGTGACTATTTCTGGATTGATGCTATTAATCATACCTTATACGTAACTTAACGAGACTCGGTAGTGTCATAATACCGGCAACCGTCACGGCGTTCGACGGTGCTAAAAAGGGAGCGGTGAATTGCGAATTCGCACGTGTTAAATATTAGTTTAGTTATACACCGGTGCGAGGAATCTCTAAAAAATCTACCTCCGACCCCAGAAATACGCCCGGAGGAATATTGAAACGAGTTTTCGCGCACAGCCGCGAATTCTTCGCCTCAAAGTGTGCGTGTCACGTGTATTTGCACGAAATTAAACGGCTCATTCGCCCGACAGCCGAAGAAAAGGAAGAACTCGACGAAACGTGCTCGCGCGAAATTCCGCCGTCTTCGTCCTCCCGCGAGATTTCAATGCCGCCGAAAGCCGCGGTCGAATTACGAGCGCAAAAGAGACTTTTTTATCCGCTCGCGCACGACGAACAAGCCACGTCTGACATGGTTAATTCGGCAGTGAGCGCAATCGCGAGTGAGCGGTCGACGCTGGATCTTTCCACTCGGTACGCCCGAGCGAGAAAGTCCGCGAGTTTCGCTAGGGCTTCTAGAGACCGCCGTTTCTCGTATCTGACGATAAATACCGAAAGATTCGCCGGGGAGAAACGGCCAAATAAAACGTAAAGAAAAAGGGAGAAACGACCGACGAGTCGGGTCCGACGAGAACCACAACAATTTTTTGCGTTCGTCGATTAATTAATATCGATACGTCGCGGAGATACTTCGATGAATACGCAAGTAATGGGTTCGTCGAGACGTTATTCCGAAAATGACCAACTCGATAAATGATGATAATGGTAAGGATTCATGAGACTGACACGTCGAATGTCGACACAAATTTTGTCGACGGAACTTTGAATAAGAACTCGAGAACTCATTTTTCTCAGAGCCTGAAAAAGCGAGGTCAACTTCTCGCACAGGTTCACAGACGTGAAGATCTTCGATCAGCCGGCGACGGGGATCGCCCGTTCTGGAAGAAACACCGCCGACATAGGCGTTTGATGATATTCGACGGTCGCGACCGGCCGCGTCGACGCGTTTAATTCGGAAATGGGCGCAATCACGGGCGCAATCGCTTTTGTGCGCGCTCGAAGTGGCGGGCCGACCCGTGGCCGTGCCATTTGAGAGGCGTTTAAGCGCTGAAAGGTGGAGGTTCGGATTTAATGCACGACTTCCTATTCCTCCCACGTAGGCGCAAAGAGGTCGAGCGCCAAAGCCGCGCCGTGTTGCGCGTCCGCCGTCGCCGCGCCGAGCTAAACGGCCGAATGGATCACGGCGTGTGGATCTGTGCCGCTCTCTTTCTCCGTCGTGCGATACATCAAACTGTCCGCCCTCGTTCTCTCTCTCTCTCTCTCTCTCTCCGCACGTTTACAGTCGAGCGCCGAGTGCGATTACGTCTCGCGCGCGCGACGACGACGAACAATATACACCGATTCGCCCCGAAATCGCGCCG